CAATTTATGCCTAAAACTTATCTCAGGAATAACCTTACATTGACAAGACTATGAGAACTACTTCAGCAAAGGCATGTGGAAGTTGAATAAGGGACCTCTAGTGGTAGCCAGAGGACAAGCAATTGGTATGTTGTACAAAACTCATGTGAAGGTGAGTTCAGACAGCCTCAATGCAGCAGAAGATAAGGCACCACCAAATTTGTGGCACAAAAGGCTAGGTCACATGAGCGAAAAAAGGTTGCATATTCTGGCAAAGAAATCTTTTATTCACTTTGCCACAGATGCAAAGTTGAACACTTGTGATAGTTGTTTATTTGGCAAGCATCACAGAGTTGCTTTCCAATCATCTTTTAGAAGACAATCAGAGTTGTTGAGCAAAGTATACTCTGATGTACGTAGTCCCATAGGAACAAAATCCTTGGGTGGTAGAAAGTATTTCGTGACATTTATTGACGATGCATCACAAAAAATGTGGGTAAATTTCCTCTAAACCAAAGATGAAATGTTTCAGCATTTCTAGATATTCTATGCCATGGTGGAAAATGAGACCGGAAGAAATTGAAGTGTCTCCTAACAGATAATGGAAGTGAGTACACGTCGAATGAGTTTGAAGCCTACTATGCTACTCGCGACATCCAACATGAGAAGACTGTTCTTAGAACTCCACAACACAATGGTGTAGTCGAGAGATGAATTGGACCATTGTGGAGAAGGTCAGATGTATACTCAAAATGGCAAAGCTGCCAAAGCCATTTTGGAAAGAAATTGTTCGTGTTGCTTGCTATCTGATAAATAGATCGCCATCAATTCCACTAAATTTTGAGATTCCAGAAAAGGTGTGGTTTGGAAGGGAGGTTTCTTACTCTCACTTGAGAGTGTTCGGGTGCAAAGCATTTGCATATGTATCCAAGGAACATAGGCAAAAGATGGATGATAAAGTCACTCCATACATTTTTATTGGCTATGGAGATGAAGAATTTGGATACAGATTGTGGGATTCAAAAAACAAAAAGGTCATTCGAAGCCGAGATGTAGTGTTTCAAGAAAGCTAGACCTTAAAAGACTTTAGGCAACCAGCTAAACCCAAAGTTGATGATGTTTTAAAAATTATTCCAAATCCTACACCATCACAGTATGCCACTAATGAAAAAGTGCTATCGTAGCATGCAGCCAATGATGTAGAGTTGCAGGATGGATTTCCCAAAGAAGAAAATCCAGAAGAAGAGGGTGTTGAGTAGGGAGAGCCACAACCCCCTCCACCAGAGACTGTTGATCCACGGTTACGAAGATCAACAAGAGAACCTAAGCCATCAACAAAATATCATGCTTTTGAGTATATTTTGCTTACTGATAAAGAGGGGCCAAAAAGTTTTCAAGAAGCTCAAAATCATAAGAAGAAGAGTAGTTGGCAACAAGCTATGCAAGAAAAGATGAATTCCTTGCAGAAAAATCAGACTTACGATTTAGTAAAACTTTCCCTAGGCCAGAAAGCACTGAAGAATAAGTGGGTGTTCAAACTAAAGAAAGATGGCATTGGAAAGTTAGTAAAGTATAAGGCTCGATTGGTTATCAAAGGTTTTGGCCAGAAGAAAGGTGTTGATTTTGATGAAATCTTTTCACCAGTTGTAAAGATGACATCCATTCGAGTAGTTTTGGGACTAGCAAACAGTGTGAACTTGGAACTTGAACAAATGGATGTGAAGATGGCATTTCTCCATGGTAATCTGAAGGAAGAAATTTACAAAGCACAACCAGAAGGTTTTGAAGTCAATGGGCAAGAGAATTTGGCCTGCAGATTGAAAAAGAGTCTTTACGGCCTAAAACAAGTGTCAAGACAGTGGTACAAGAAGTTTGAGTCATTCATAGTGAGCCATAAGTACAAGAGAACCGCTGCAGACCAGTGTGTATATGTCAGGAAATTTCCCAAGGGAAACTTCATCATACTCTTGCTCTATGTTGATCACATGTTGATTGTTGGTCAGGATGTTGCGACAATTAGGTCACTGAAAAAGAAGTTGTCATAGTCCTTTGACATGAAGGACCTAGGCCCTGCCCAACAAATTTTGGGCATGAAAATTATGCGTGACAGGAAAGCTAAGAAGTTGTAGTTGTCACAGGATAAATATGTTGAACGAGTGATTGAAAAACTCAACATGAAAGATGCCAAGCTAGTCAATATTTCGTTGGCTAACCATTTCAAGCTGAGAAAGAGGTCTTGTTCCTCCTCTACAAAAGAAAGAGAAGAGATGGAGGCAATTCTCTATTCATCTGTAGTAGGGAGTTTGATGTATGTAATGGTATCCACCTGACCAAATATTGCTCATGTTGTTGGAGTAATGAGCAGATTTCTTTCCAATCTAAGGAAAGAGCATTGAGAAACAATCAAGTGGATTATGAGATATCTTAAGGGTACATCTAAAATGGGTTTGTGCTTTGGAGGAGCTAGTCCAATCTTGGAAGGTTATACAAGTTCAGATATTGCAGGTGATCTTGATGGTAGAAAATCTACATCAGGATTTTTGTTTACTTTTGCAAGGGGAGCTGTGTCTTAGCAGTCCAAGCTACAGAAGTGTGTTGCTTTATACACAACCAAGGTAGAGTATATTGCCACAACGAAAGCTGGAAAAGAGATGTTATGGTTGAAGCGATTTCTCCAAGAACTTAGACTAGAATAGGAAAAGTTCACATTACATTGTGCTAGCCAGAATGTCATAGACCTGAGCAAGAATTCTATGTATCATTCTCATACAAAGCACATTGATGTTCAGTATCATTGGATACGCGAAGTGATGGAGAAATAGTTATTGGAACTAATCAAGATCCACACAAATAAGAATCCAGCCGACATGCTTACAAAAGTGGTCTCGAGAGACAAACTCGAAATATGCAGAGGCATTTCTGTGATGGACATCCAGTAAGGATACTCACCATGGGTGTAGAGTGAGAGAATTGTTGAGTATCCAAACCATGTGAAGTTGGCTTTGGAAATCAAGAATAGAGACTACAAATTTGGGCTAGAGTTTTTTCAGCCTAGTTACCCTATTGTAGGGTGGCTGTATTGATGGCTTGCCATTTATTTTGGTGGTTGGTAATTGGTAGGCAAGTGTAATTATTAGCTTTTCCATTTGTGTATAAATAGGGAGAGATGTGAGCTGAGTTGATATAGAGATCAGGAGAGTGAAGAAAATAGAGAGAGTTGTGAAAAGTGTATGTGAGTTGAGTTAAGAGAATGAGAGACTCCTTCTCCTCTGTTTTGTATTTATTTTTTATTCATAGTAAAGCTTTCTCTCTTTCTCTCCCATAGACGTAGGCATTAGGCCAAATCACATAAATATTTGTGTCTTATTTGTGATTGTGATTGTGTGTTGATTGATTGCTAGATGTGTATAATCCCAACAAGACCGGCGACAACATGCTTCTTAGAATTTTTTATTTATTATTTTTTTCAAGTTCTTGAAAAATATAAGCTTGGAAGCATCCACTACTTCACTAGATATATGAAACAAGGGAAATGCCCTCAAAAAGTGTGTACTATATGCATTATGTTATGTATTTTTATTAGGTATATTACGTATTTTTGTAATAAATATTAATTAATTTATGGTAGAGTTACGATAATTTGTGGTTCAAAAATGATGTTATGTATTTTTGTAGTAATGTTAAGCATTTTTTCATCCAAATATTTTTTGATCAGAAAATGTGTAACAACACCATTATAAAATGCGTAACTTTATTTTTGAATTACAAATTGATGTAACCCTACCAAAAAAAAATACGTAACATATATTACAAAAATACATAACTAAGAGTGCATACGCACACATCCCATAACACTACCCTGAAAACGTAACTTATACATATATTGTACAAGGGTATAGGTGGAGTTGGGAATCATCCTCTAGAGAGAGAGAGAGAGAGAGAGAGAAACAGATTAAATTAATTCGTTTCAAATAGAAACAAATGGGAGGAACAGAAGCTTTTACCTGATTTAGGAATGCACTTTTTTAGAGTAAACATCCACTCAATGCAATCAACTCGATTTTCTTCCCTTCAAATCCGACTCCTGTCGGAAGGTAATAAAAACATGAATTTAGGTTTTGTTTCTTCAAATCCTTAATCATTCTATTAAAACTTTCAATTCAATTGATATTCAATTTGAATGATTTATGCGCAGGCATTAGGTTTGGAGCACAGATCACAAAAGCAGAAAGGTTGTGGTCCACCGGACACGATGGGGACGACGAGAAGATGATGTTGGAGAAGCATTGTGAGTCTGGGGACTGCCCCTGCCAGTGTCACCCCCAAAGAGTAAGAAGCAAAAGTGCCCTGCGCTGTGAGGCGGTGCAGAGAGGTTTTGAAAACGTTGACATTAATTTCATTATATTACAATGAATTCTTAACAAATAAATAAATAAATAATCTTTGTTATTTCCAATAAACAATTTTCCCTTTTTTTTTTTGGTTATTTTATATATTTGTTTTTTACAAAAGAAAACAAAAGGTAACATTAAAAAATAATAGAAAGAAAAAACAAACAAACAAAAAAAAACATAAAATCATATATAGAATGATGTCATATGAAAAAAGAAAAAGAAAAATTCAAACCAAAATATTACTTAAATACAAATAAGAGAGGCCGCTTGCAAAATACTCTAAATAAAATTATGTAAAAATACAATATTATAACACAAACACAACTTATAAAAGGTTTTGAGAATCAAAATTATATGCACGAATTTAAATTGCACAAACTGTGATAGATAAAAATTAATTTTTACATATAGATCACAAAAAATAGATAAAATTGGTGGTGCATCTCCTTACCTCCGTTCTATGAATTATTAAATTTTTTGTTGTTTTTGGCGTATCTAAACTTTCTCATAATTCTAGAAATATGACCTGGACAAATTATAGTAGAAACAGTTTCACTTTCACATCCTGCTAGTGCACATTATGCAACTCCCGGATGCAGACAAACAAAATAGCAGAATTTACAATGATTGGATCTCAAAGATTCAAAACATACCCAACATTTCAGCTCATATTTTACAATAAGTACGCAATATAATCATTTTCAGAAGGCATTTAAGCACAAAACTACCATATATTTTACATAATATATGTAACCGGGAAAAAAAATCGATACAACATTCATCCACTGCTTGATTATCACGTCATGTCAACCCCCCCACATCCACCCCTCAAAACAATCAAATATTATGAGAATCAAAGTATTACAATGCATTACAATTGCAACAAAATATGCTAGTAACACCCCTCGAGCAATCAATGAGGGTTGTACCTACCACTTTTGCTGTTTAGAACGCGGTAAGAGTGCAAGGAGAATCTTTTTCCTAGGTCCCTGCAAATCAAAAGGTATTTGTAAGTAGCCGTTTCAAATGGAGGCAGACACAACGAAGAACAAACCACAAAACTTGAAGCATGCATATTATTCTTTTCGCAAAAAATTCTTGACGACCATTGCTAAAGCACAACCACCACAAAATTTGGACCTCCTCTAGAGACTACAACATAGAATAACACACATAAATGCCCAAAACACACTTACAATCCTTGGTTCCGGACCCCAACCCAACCACGCACAAAAAGAAAAATAAAATTTAGATACACAATTCAAGAGAGACAATAGAAACCAATAGAATTCAGTAAGAAATACAAGCATGGTGCCAAGGGAAGTGTCAAATGATTAAGGGAACATCACTCAGGCCTCGTTTGGGAACAGACTAATTTAGTAATTTTTTGGTTATTTGGCTAAAATATGAGCTAAAAAAAATTAGTATGTTTGGGATAACTTTTTGACTTTTTACGAAAAGATGTGCAAAAAGTAGAGAGAAAAGAGAATCTTTGACTTTTTGGTATAGGTTGTTGGCTTTTTGGCTAATTTAGTAACTTTTTGATTTTTTGGCTAAAAGGGAGGGTTCCCAAACGAGGCCTCAATTACCAAACAAGATTGAGTAGTATGGAACTAGCAGGCAGGCCAATGAGTTGACTGTTGGTGCACAGAGTTCAACCCAAAGACAAGCTTCCAGGGGTTACTGAATTCAAAACACTTTTAACTGAAATCAGAAGACTTTTTCACCTATTTTCACTACATTTTTTACTCCAATCTCAATACTAAACAATGCCACAGGAGCACTCGTTAGCATTTTGCTCTTGTAATGAGATGAAACAAAAGCATCTTAGGCTATTTCTTACCTAGTTGCATAAGAAAGAACTGCATTACATTTTAAGCAAGTAAATGCACCATGGGATCTATGAAATTGAAACTGATTGACATCAAGCATGCTATATAAAAGAATAAAATCACTATACCATGGGTATTCCCAACTCTTTCAGGTCTTTGTCCCCCATTTGCTTCAGTGCTGCCATGTCCACCTGCAATTTAGATAAAACATGTTCAAAGTTGGATAGTTTAATACAGCAAAAAATTGCCTAAACATGTGCATAATGTACAAGCTACCCTCAAAAACTCCAAAAGAATTCAATATTTCCTTTTCTGCAGTTTGAAAGTGCACTGTAAATACATCATTCTATTTAGTAAGATTGTAAACCCACAAAGGGCAATGAATTGTGCCCGTCTTGGCCCTGTAGACCAACCAAAATGGGGAAAGCCTGACATGTGCAAGGTCATTGAGATGCCACAGTAGACCTGCTTTCCTGCTTCAATATAAATATAAATTTCTCTTTGTATACACCTTGAGGTCAAGTTTTTTCTTTTTTTAAGCAAGCAGATTTTGAGGTCAACTGTTTAAGCTTACAAATGTTTCCCATCAGACTGACATTCCATGTCCAACTCTACAAGGCATTTGTTTTATGAAAAATGCTAAAAACCGACCTAAGGGCTGTTGTCAATGTTGAAAAAGTGTATTGAAATGTGTGAAAGTGTTTTGTGATATGTGAAGAGTGTATTGAGATTACAAATATTTGGCACTTTGTGCTTCTTAGGGCTGTCATTAGCAGAACCCTTGTTTTATTAGCAAAAATTATGATATATAAAGAAGCTTAAGAAAAGCCCGAAGTCAACACCCCTCTAGAGGACGACATATGCCTAGCCTACATAACATAAACCTCTCATAGCCTGAGAGACACAACCCTACAGGGAAAAAAAAACAAGAAACACGTCCAAAGACAACAAAATCTCTTAACCAAGAAGCACATATAGACAACCTAGACCCTAAGGATAAACTATCATAACCGAGAGAATAGGTAATCAAAAGACCCTCTCACAACTTGAGAGACTAGGGCATAAACTATGTAACATTACCACTTCCGTGACCTTGCACTTGAACAATTTCTCTTATTTTGAGTTCTTTGACGGAAAATAATCATTCTAGGCTAGACATTTGCTTGACACAAATAATCAATTTCCCACATTTTATTTGTTCTTTGATGCATCAAAACAACGAAATCCATGACCTCATATATACTATATATTCTCAAAAAACATGGGATATACCCAAAAACTCAACATCAAGAAAACCCTTGCAAGAGAGGGAGGATATTTCTTGTAGAAATAGCACTTTAACTTACCTCCTCAGCCTGAAACCAAATAGCATATTTCCCCAAACCAAGTGAATGCAACAAGCCACTGACAGTGAGAGGTTGGTCACCCTACAAAATCCAACGGGGAGAGAGAGAGAGAGAGAGACAATAATATCAATAAGTAGTCAAAAGACAGAAGGTGATAGTATAAAACATAAATATAGCAGGCCGACACATTTCTAGTAGAATGTGATTAACTTTAAGAGTTAGTGAAGAATCATCAGGTCATCATTTTATAAAACAAATAAAGTATCTGAACTGAGCATAACATATGATAAACAAGCTTATACTTGGTCAAATAGAAAGTTAGCCTACCACTGTTGTTGATTCAACAGAGAAATAACAGAGATCATGTTTACATTATTAGTGATTATCACTAGCAATAAGTCATTGATGTTCAAGATATATTATAAAAAAATATAAGGCAAAAGTATGTACAGTATATGAAGCGTTTGGCAAGGCACTTGCTGGTGGAGGTCCCGTGACTGGCTTGCCAGCGTCGTGGGTAGCTCCCATTGTAACAGATGCAGGGCCAATTATCCTAGACGGGTACAAAACATAGTCCAAATGTTGCCCATTTCTTGAAGTATCACTTGGCCTTCTTGAGGGAAATCGCTGCAGTTCATCAATATGTCTAGGTGGTGAGGTTTCACGAGAAACTTTCAGTACTCTCTCCGGGAATCTAGGTTTTAATGGGTCCCCATTGTAAGAAGGGTAAGGTTTTCTTAATGACTCCGCCTGCAGCATTTCACCTGATCTTTTTATGGGGGAAGTGTGCCTCAATTGTCTCCTATCTGTAGACCAGATTGACATTTTTTCATGTAGGTACATCTTCTTCCGCGCTTCAACCTCACTCTGTATTCGCTTCAATCGTTCTTTACGCATCAATTTCAATCTCAGATCATTTCGCCCAACTCGTGCATCTTTATAAGCCAATACAAGAAAGTAGTTAAGAACTACTGATCAAGAAATCAGAAGTAAGGCTTGTAAAATGTACACAATAAGCCATTACCATGCACTCTATTGTAATCTGGACTGCATGCACCAAAATCCCCTCGCAGCCTGAAAACACACCATTCAATCTGGCATGATCATATTAAGACAAGAGCAAATATCCCATGAACTAGTTCAGAATTTCCACTCTGAAATAATTTGGCTATAAAATTAAACCCCCCCAAAAAATGCATTTCCTTTAGACAAATGAGGATTTTCTTTGCAAAGTCAAAATATGGTCCAACTTTCAATAGCATTACTCGAACACTATTTATCCTATAGCTGGATTTTGGGAGGACGCCACTAAAAGGGAGTGACATGAATCCGCATAGACATTATTGATTTCAGTTATGGGGTGCACTATACATGGATAGAACCAAGCGTTACAAAAGCAACGAAAATCCCTACCTACCCCAGTCCATCCCTTCACCCAAATAATGAACTATTTAAACACCTAAAACACCAAGATAAAATACTACTCTCATGATTAATGCAAAACAAAATCCACAAAAGTTTGGCATGGGATAACACTAGAAAGTGTACACAATTCAAAACTACATCTGCTCCCCCGACAAAATGAAGGAATAATAATAATAAATAAATAAATAAGCGTAAGATTAGAACCCACTCTTAATTATTTTGTTTCTTTTTCCCTCGTCCTCTCCTCTCCCAGTAACAAATAGGATCTAGCAAAACTCGGGAAATAGTTTAGAGACAGAAAAGGCAAACTACACACCGTTTGTTTGAAGCCAACAAAGAACCACCAGTATTACTCCTGAATCTCTGGCTGGCAGATCGTTTGCCTCCTGATAATGACTGATAGTCAGTCCGTGAGCCACCAGAACCTGTTTGCTGCGTCTTCACCACCTTCTGAACAATGTAGACAAAAAAAGAGTACACATTTCAAAACAGAGCATCAGCTACTTTCTAATATCTAAATTGTTCTTAGCAAGCATTTTACTTTCTTTAATGCGCTTCAGAAGCAAGGAAAACCACTAGTTCAAAAATGCTAAACCAAAATTAAATTCCAAACAATTCAGAAAAAAATCGATTGATTCAACAGATACAGAGCCAAATGGAATAAATTATCTCGGTTTTTGAAGCTCGAATGATGGACAATAAAAAAGGAAAGTTTAAACCAAACAAAAATCAAATGATTAAAATTGAAGTTGAAGCTCAAAATACTATTCAAAACCCTAACCGTAGCTTACAAACACACGTTTCATCCATATAAAATTCAAACTGTTCAAAAAAAAATCATATAAAATACATACAAAAAAAAAAAGAAAAGTGGAGAATGCATATTATACCTGACCAGAGCGCCCCAGGGTGATGATCACGCGGGGCTCTGACATTTCAATCCGAAATCCGAGATGAACCAGAGCTTCAGAACAGAAGCTGCCAGAGAACCTGTGTGTAGTAAACTTGCCTGGTTAACCAAAGTGGGAGGAGAGGCATCACTGTCTTCACAACATCTCTTTAAAACCCTAATAATTGTGAGAGAAGAGAAGAGAAAGGAGGAAGGAATCGAAATCGTAGAGGAGAAGAAAAAGGAATCGCGCAAGTGAATTTGTAGTACAAGGGCAGATCAAATCAACCTTACTCGGCCGCGCCACGCGCTTCCTGCTCGATACGATACGACTCTTTTCTCTCCCGTTTCGTTTTCCCTTTTTGCGTTTTTTATTATTACTATAATTATTTATTCTTTAAGCCAATAAATAAATAAACTAATGAAATTTTATTCTGTGACAGATATTAGTATTTATTTATCTCACACAAATAAAATAAAAAAAATATTATTAAAATTAGGTCTTTAGTATTTTTATTTCTATCAATTGCGAATTTTAATGGATGTTTTAATCAGAGTACCCATAGCAAAAAGAAATAAGACCCTTTTTCCAACTCTTTTTATTTTCTCTTTGCTCAACTATCCACTTTTCTAATAGGGGACATAATTTGACAAGGTAAAACAAGAACTGAAAGAGAAAATGACATTTATCCTCCTCTTTATTAACCTTTCACACCTTTTCTAATAAAAATAAGATTGTAATCAAAGAATAAAAAAAAAAAAATAAGATTGTAATCAAAGAAAAAAAAAAAAAAAAAATAGAAAAAGAAAAAGGGCATGCAAGAAACCAAAAAGAGATTGTGATTTAGAGCCTAAACTTAATTTATTTTGTCATAATTATGTCAACATCCATTTTTAAATAAAAAAATGCACAAGTCTTTAGGTCTTTTTCTCCCATTTTTTAGAGCTATAATTTTCTTCTGATATATCCAAAAAATTAAATATTTAAGTATGCAATCGTTTTCAGTATATGAATATTCAACTACACATCTTCCAATTGAGGGGGACAAAAAAAAAACCGTGTGTTCGGTATAGGAATAAAAATTAATTCATCCAAACACACCCCAAGAAACAATAACATACACAAAATAGAGTGCACAAGAAATTAAGCAATAATATTGTACAAGAGGTAGAACAGCACGTTACAAAATAACCCACTCCAAAAATCCTCTTTGTGCCCTCTTCTCCTTAGGCACGGGTATTCAGAATGACCCCAAAACAAAGGTACCAATGCGAATGTCCAGCAGGAGCCACAAAAGCAAGAACCCAGTTGTGGGTCATACACAGAAAATCGGCAAACATGACCCAAGGAAGACAATATTAATAGGAACATAACCAAAATAGTTTCTTACTAAAGTACAAAAATATACATATAAGCAAATTCAAAACACAAGAGCACTACATCTTAGCCTTTGATTCTCTGATTTCTTCCAAGGAAATGGTCTGTATGTCAAGCCAATAGTGAGGATATGAGGAAGTGGTAAAAAACTCCAAAAATAACATGCCTAAGTACACGTACACTGTGTGGGCAAACCACAACAATTAAGTTAGAAGCTCTCTCTCTCTCTCTCTCTCTCTCTCTCTCTCTAGTGTAACTTGAATGCGTAAAGTCTAGCAGTAAAACAGAAAAGTTTGGGAAATGAACAAACTGGATACAGTGTTTACCTGTTCTTTGCCAACAAAATCATTATCAGGGGTGAGAAAAAGCATGCCGTGACACTCCTTGCTAAGCCAAGTTCCCAATTAGATATGAATAACTGGTCACAAGGATAACAACGATGACATTTTGAACCAGAGACAGGAAATAAACTGCAGAAACTCAAAACTTCAATAGCATAATATAATTCTAATTCTCAGACCGTATTCAAGCCACCAAAATGTCATCTTCTACATGTGGGTACTTGTATCAAGCTCAATACGTGGCAAGCCCTACAGGTGCCACATCACCAAAACCCACCAATGTGGCAGACCAATAAGGCACCACGTCTGGCACGTCGTATGTTTGATACATGGCGAGCCCTATAGGCGCCATGTGCCAAGGCAACCAAAACTATATGCTTAGCCTAAGCGGGAGCATATATCCAACTCTTTTTTATTTTCTTTTCTCTTTGCTCAACTATCCACTTTTCTAATAGGGGACATAATTTGACAAAGTAAAACAAGAACTGAAAGAGAAAATGACATTTATCCTCCTCTTTATTAACCTTTCACACTTTTTTTAAAAAAAATAAGATTGTAATCAAAGAATCAAAAAAAAAAAAAATAGAAAAAGAAAAAGGGCATGCAAGAAACCAAAAAGAGATTGTGAATTAGAGCTTAAACTTAATTTATTTTGTTATAATTATGTCAACATCCATTTTTAAATAAAAAAATGCACAAGTCTTTAGGTCTTTTTCTCCCATTTTTTAGAGATATAATTTTCTTCTGATATATCCAAAAAATTAAATATTTAAGTATGCAATCGTTTTCAGTATATGAATATTCAACTACACATCTTTCAATTGAGGGGGACAAAAAAAAAACCGTGTGCTCGGTATAGGAATAAAAATTAACTCATCCAAACACACCCCAAGAAACAATAACATACACAAAATAGAGTGCACAAGAAATTAAGCAATAATATTGTACAAGAGGTAGAACAGCACGTTACAAAATAACCCACTCCAAAAATCCTCTTTGTGCCCTCTTCTCCTTAGGCACGGGTATTCAGAATGACCCCAAAACAAAGGTACCAATGCGAATGTCCAGCAGGAGCCACAAAAGCAAGAACCCAGTTGTGGGTCATACACAGAAAATCGGCAAACATGACCCAAGGAAGACAATATTAATAGGAACATGACCAAAATAGTTTCTTACTAAAGTACAAAAATATACATATAAGCAAATTCAAAACACAAGAGCACTACATCTTAGCCTTTGATTCTCTGATTTCTTCCAAGGAAATGGTCTGTATGTCAAGCCAATAGTGAGGATATGAGGAAGTGGTAAAAAACTCCAAAAATAACATGCCTAAGTACACGTACACTGTGTGGGCAAACCACAACAATTAAGTTAGAAGCTCTCTCTCTCTCTCTCTCTAGTGTAACTTGAATGCGTAAAGTCTAGCAGTAAAACAGAAAAGTTAGGGAAATGAACAAACTGGATACAGTGTTTACCTGTTCTTTGCCAACAAAATCATTATCAGGGGTGAGAAAAAGCATGCAGTGACACTCCTTGCTAAGTCAAGTTCCCAAATTAGATATGGATAACTGGTCACAAGGATAACAACGATGACATTTTGAACCCGAGACAGGAAATAAACTGCAGAAACTCAAAACTTCAATAGCATAATATAATTCTGACTCTCAGACCGTATTCAAGGCACCAAAATGTCATCTTCTACATAAAAAAAATGGTAATCAATTAAATAGAAAACTAGTAATGCTCCAAATCATAAGAACCATCAAACTCTTAGTTGCAGGAATTGCATACTGAGGGTGACATTTCAGCTCTACAACCACAATTTCGCGGTTCAAAGCAAGAATCAAGTTAGAACCACATTCCTGTCAGAATAGAATCATAGTTCCAACTCAGACGGGACCTCTCAACCATATGAATCCCATATAAACAAAAGAAAAGTTATAATATATGCAGTGAAAAATGATGAATGTATCAATCTAAACAATGGAATAAGGGCACCAAAAAAAAAAAAAAAAATCAAAATAGGGACAAGGACAAGAACACATACTAGACAATGCAACAAGAATTTACTATATTTATGTTTTAAAGTGATTACTATGGACATTTAGCATATACATTACAACTAAACGAAAAATACATACTTCTTCAAATATATTTATGTGAGGAAGTGGTTTGGAAATACTCTTCAGATCCTGGGGGACGTTCGTGATCCCCAGCTAGTCAATCATGATATCCATGAAGGCTTGTGTTGGCCAATCATGATATCCACGAAGGGCGTTCCGAATCCGGAGGCTTAATCGGCCCAAAGGTGTCATGCACTGATGGGGCTCCGAATTCGGAGGCTTGTGTTGGCCAATCGTGATATCCATGAAGGGCGTTCCGGATCCGGAGGCTTAATCGGCCCAAAGGTGTCATGCACCGATGGGACTCCGAATCCGGAGACTTGTATTAGCCAATCGTGATATCCACGAAAAGCACTCCGAATCCGGAGGCTTAATCGGCCCAAAGGTGTCATGCACCGATGGGTCTCCAAATCCGGAGGCTTGTGTTGGCCAATCGTGATATCCACGAAGGGCGCTCCGAATCCGAAGGCTTAATTGGCCCAAAGGTGTCATGCTCCAATGGGGCTCCGAATCCAAAGACTTGTATTGGCCAATCGTGATATCCACGAAGGGCGCTCCGAATCCAGAGGCTTAATCGGCCCAAAGGTGTCATGCACCGATGGGGCATTGAATCTGGAGGCTTGTGTTGGCCAATCGTGATATCCATGAAGGGCGCTCCGAATCAGGAGGCTTAATCGGCCCAGAGGTGTCATGCACCGATGGGGCTCCGAATCCGGAGACTTTTGTACTAAATTGAGCGATGAGGAAACGGGAAACTTTGCATTGCAAAAGTGGAATATGTACATGGTGAACCATTCAAAACCAGTATCATTCCCCACAGGTCGGGTTTAATGATAGAATTTACGCAAGTGCGTTGAATTTCAAGGCCGTGGCAGACTCTTTCCAGACATGTCCTTCAGCCGATATGCCCTTACTCCCGCGATCAAATCGATCTGATAGGGGCCGTCCCAGTTAGGGCCCAATTTTCCATCAGCCGGTTTCCTGGCAACTGGAAGTACTTTCTTCAGGACCAACTCTCTTGGTGTGTAGCGGCGCAGCTGAACACGTTGATTATACGGCTTAGCAAGCTGCTGCTGATACCGTGCCATGGATGCAAGGTCACAGTCTCTTCGTTCTTCAATCAAAATCAAATCTAAGGCCAGCATCATGTCGTTTTGGCCCATATCAAAAACTTTCGATTTCAAGGTTGGGAGGCCGATCTCCAGGGGTATGATTGCCAAGGTTCCAAAGCATAAAGCAAACAGCGTTTCCCCAGTGGATCACCTCGGCGTAGTTCGATGAGCCCATAACACACTCAGCAATTCTTTGACCCATTTGCCTTTGGCTTTCTCCAGCCTCTTCTTGATGTCGTCCAAGATGGATTTGTTAGAGGCTTCAGCTTAACCATTGCTTTGTGGGTAAGCCGGCGTGGAAAAGTAAGGTCGAATACCATACTTGCTGCATAGCTTTCGGTAGACGCCACAATCAAATTGAGTGCCATTGTTTGAGATAAGTGCTCTTGGAATGAAATGCCGAATCATGTTATGATATTTCTCCATACAAAGCGCTTAACATCAACATCTCGAATGTGCGTTAATGCCTCCGCTTCGACTCATTTTGTGAAGTAATCTATTGCGACAATCAAGTGTGACTTGTTCCCTGGGGCCCTTAGCAATGATCCGACGATATCAAGTCCCCACTGGGCGAACGGCCAGGGGCTGGTGATAGAGCTTAACTCTTCAGCAGACAGATGGGTTAAGGGGGAGAACTTCTGGCATTGTTCACATTTTTTCACATAACATTCGACATCTGCTCTCATTGTCGACCAATAATACCTGTGTTACAGCTCGGTGAGCAAAAGAGCGCCCGCCAGAATGTGCGCCACAACTGCCTTCATGTATTTTAGTCAAAAGCTCTTCGACTTTGTCCGGATGCACGCATTCCAGGTATGGACCAGAAAGGGATTTTTTATAAAGCTTTCCTTGCGGATCCAAGTAGTATCGCAGGGTTTTGTTTCGCAGTTTGTGCGCTTCTTTCTTGTCCGCTGGAAGCTGTTCGGAAGACAAGAATGCAGCAATGGGGTCCATCCAACTCCGTCCTGACTCTATGACATTAACTTGGACTTCCTTTGAAGGGCAAATGCTCGGCTTCGGGATGAAACCTACTTCGATGGTTCGTTTAAGCTCTGAGTTAATGGCGGAGGCTAGGCAAGCCAGGACATCTGCATGTGTGTTCTGATCTCGTGTTATTTGATTCAATTCATGATGGTCAAGTTTTGCCAGCAAGGAGTTAGCCGTTTTTATGTAAACCGCCATACGATCATTTTTGGCCGGCGTACTCCCCCTTTAACTAATTGATCACCAGTTTTGAATCGCAAAATACAAGCAAACGCCGAGCACCCAGAAGATGTGCATTCCGCAAACCAGTTAGAAGGGCTTCGTATACGGCTTCGTTATTTGATGCATCGAAGCCGAGTTTGACGGGCTGCTCAATTATTGCGCCGTCGGGGGCCATGATTACTACTCCGACTCCACTGCCCCGTTGATTGAATGATCCATCACAGTACAACTACCAAATGTCCCCAACATAAATTCTCCAGTTTGGCTTAGGTCGAATTTCATCAGACTTGAAGTCGGTAAGACCTCCAGTGAATTCGACCACAAAGTCTGCAAGTACCTGTCCCTTGATTGAGGTTCTAGGCAGAAACTGAATATCGTATTGGCCGAGTTCAAGAGCCCACTTTGAAACGCGCCCAGATGCTTCTGCACTACGGAGTACCGACCGGAGGGCGTGGTCCATTAGTACCCCGATGGTATGCCCCTGAAAGTAATACATCAGCTTTCTTGCTGCCATGACGAGGGCCAGAATGAGTTTTTTCAACGAAAGATAGCGTTTTTCGGCGTCAACCATTGCCTTGCTCACATAGTACACTGACCGCTGCTCCCCCAGCTCTTCCTTTATCAGTACGGCGCTGACGGCCCGGTTGGAAACTGCCAGATACAGAATGAGCAGGTCACCTGCCGAAGGTGTTGTCAAGAGTGAAACTGGTCGAAGGTAGGTCTTGAGGCCGTTGAAAGCAGCTTCGCACTCGACGGACCATTAAAAAGTCTTGCCTTGCCGTAGTGTATAAAAGAATTGTTGGTAGCGGTCCGTGGAACGACTGATGAATCTATTGAGTGCGGCGGCCATCCCCATTAACTTCTGAACCTCCTTGACCGATCGAGGGGAGCCGAGTTCCAGGATTGCTGTGATTTGCCTTAGGTTGGCTTCGATTCTTCGGTGGTTGACAATGTAACTCAAGAATTTGCCAGAGCCGGTCCCAAACGCACATTTGAAAGCATTCAGCTTCATTCTATATTTGCGTAGAATGTCGAATGTCTCTTCCAGATCGGCTATATGATTCTGCTCTTCCTTAGACTTGACCACCATATCGTCAATGTACACTTCCATAGTGTGGCCGAGTTGCTCCTTGAACATGGCGGTGACTAGTCGCTGGTAAGTTGCCTTGCATTCTTCAGTCCAAAAGACATAACCTTATTGCAATAGGTTCCTCTTGGGGTGAGGAATGTAGTTTTGTCTTAGTCCTCCGGATGCATGGCAATTTGATGGTAGTCTCTGTAGGCATCGAAGAAGCTCATACGCTGATGACGTGCCGTAACATCTACAAGTTGGTCTATCCTGGGGAGGGGAAAACAATCTTTGGGGCAGGCTTTGTTTAGGTCCGTGAAATCAACGCAGACTCGCCAAGTCCCATTTTTCTTCTTAACAACCACAGTATTTGAGAGCCATGTAGGGTAGGCCATTTCCCTGATTGCTCCGGCATCAAGCAACCGGTCAACCTCTTCAACAACAGCAACATCGTGCTCTGCAGCTGACCGCCGGCTTTTTTGAATAATCGGCTTGCATTTAAGGTCAACATTTAAACGGTGCTGCGAAACAAACAGATCTACACCCGGCATCTCATATGGAGTCCACGCAAATACATCAAGATTGCCAAGCAGGAAGGAAATTAGCTACTGTCTGTCGGCTTGATTCAGGAAGGCGCCGACCATAAAGAACCTGTCTGGGTTTCCGTCAATTTCAACTTGATCTAGGACTTCTGTGGCCTTTTCACTTGGGAGCCGCCCAACATCGTCGAGGCTCTCTCGATCCGGCACCTCAATAGAATTCACTTGCAACTCTTTTGGCGTCTTTCCAGCAAGGAGATAACATGTTTTCTGGGAGCCACGGATCTGCTCAATGTCGCGTTCTGTCGGGAAGCGTAGCAGCTGATGATAGGTGCTTGGCACGGCCTGCATAGTGTGCAACCAAGTTCGCCCCATGATGAGATTATACGGCGACGGCAACTTGACGACCAAGAATTCCACTTCCACTGTTCGGGAACCCGCTCGAACGGGTAGTGTGATTTTCCCCAATGGGTATTTTGGATTGGCATTGAAGCCGAATAGTAGATAAGGTGCCCGAGAAAGATCCGGTTCGGAGAAGCCGAGTTTGGTGAATGTCTTGTAATACATAACTTCCGATGTGCTCCCCGGATCAATGAGTACGCGCTCAATGATGAATCGGTTTACGCGTAACTCGATTACCAAGGGATCGATGTGAGGAAGTGTCACTCCGGCCAAATCTGAATCATCAAAAGCAATGCTCGCAGCTTCATGGGGCCGCTTAGCTGGAGTGAGTTGATTTTGAGGGTCAGGATTCGACTGAATTGTATGCACCGCGGATGACATTGACAGGCTGTATATCATGTGGATCACGCCGAGTGGAGGTGAATCTTGTCGTAAGGCTATTGCTTTGGTTGAGTTGCCTTTGCGGACATACTGTTGCAGCTAACCATCTTGTACCAGTTCCTCCAGGTGATCCTTCAATGCGTAACAACTCTTAGTATCATGGCCGTGATCCTTGTGATACTCGCACCGCCTATTCCGCCTTCTTGTTTCGGGAGGGCCCACCATTTTGGACGGCCATTTGAAGAACAGAAGGTGTTGGACATTGGACATAGTGCCTGTTTAGCAGAAATTATAATCAGCTTATTTCAGCTTTCAGCTTAATTTAAGCTATTTTGATGTGTTTGGTTTAGCTTATAGCTTATAGCTTTTTGGAAGTCAGAAATCAGCTTATTCTTTGAGTGGGGCAGGAGATACTTTAAGAATAAGTCAGAAATCAGCTTATGTTCATAGTTATAAGCTATAAGCTGTTTAGGCATAAGCTATAAGCACTTTCTCACAGCTCTACCAAACAGGGCTATGACCGCGTTGATCGACTCTGACAACTCCGTGTATTTCTTGTCTGAGCGCCTTGTGCGCCTGCCATCGACTTGCAGTTGTTCATTTGCTCGGTGGGGGCACTGGTCGCTTGAGGGGCGAGAATCCCGTCTCTTGTCTCGTTTAGCCCGATGCCGTGGTTCAGGGCTCTGTGGTGGTACAGAATTTAACGGCTGAGCAATTTCAGAAGGAGCTGTCTTGTTGGTCACGTTTCCGGCTTTAACCCGCAAGGCATCATCTTCCACTTTGCAGTATTCCTCAACTTTCTTCATCAACGACCAGACTGTTTTGGAGGGTCTTCTAGTCAAAGAGCTGCGGAGAGCACTGTCAGGATGCAAACCCATTTTAAAGGCAGTGACGGCCATGGAATCGTTGCAAGCGTCATCAACAAGATTGAAGCACTCCCAATAGCGCGCCAAATACACTCTTAGTGTTTCTCCTGGCTGGATCTGCATTGCCTAGAGAGAGTCGGCTTGTTTCGGCTGGACCTCGTTGGTGATGAATCTTGCCCTGAAGGATTTTTGTAATTGATGAAAATTCTTAATCGACGTCAGCTCTAACTTATAATACCATCTGACTGCCAACGGTCCCAAACTGCTCGAAAATATTCTGCATATGAGAGCTTCGTAGTCTGCTTGCAACGTCATGGCTTGTTTATAGTGACGGATATGATCTGTGGGATCCGATTTCCCGTCGTACAAGGTGAACGACGGGGCTTTAAACTTCTTGGGTAATACTGCCTTTGCGATCCGTTGCACAAAGGGATCGTGCTGGTCCTCTTCGTCTGAACCATTTCGTCTTCGCTTATGTCTTGTACGTGGACTCTCTTCAGAGGAACTAGTAGTTACGGGTCGTCCCTTCTTTCTGGGCTCCGGGGATAATGAGTCGGAGTCGTTGTCAGTGTCTTGTTGTCGGGCTCGAGGTCGTCGCCCAACTGCCCTCAGAGGTCGTTCCGGATCTTGGCGTACAACTTATTTGGACTTCGCCACTTCCAAGGCCAAATCCTGACGGAGACGTTCGTTTTGCTTTGTTTTGCTTGTTCCATGATCGCTTGCATTGTCTCATGCGCTGAAGTTGAGGGTGAGGCGAAGTTCAAGGTGCATCTTGCGGCGATAGTCTCCGATCCAAGAATGTTTGTTGGAGTGAGGTCGTCTCTCTGTGTGGTCTCATCAGTGACTATCGGAGGGTCTTTCGTTACGCCCGCCATAGATGAATTTGAGTATTCCCACAGATGGCGCCAATTGTGGGGAAGTGGTTTTGAAATACTCTTCAGATCTTGGGGGACGTTCGTGATCCTCAGCTAGTCACCTGAAAGGGAATGAACACTTCGATCGGGGGTGCCGGGATTAGCACTCCGACGTATAAGTCAGTGTATACTCTCTTGATCGCTTGTATCTTAAGTTAAGCACACTAATTCTCACATATCTCTTTCTGACTGGTGTTCTTTTATTTATATCTTTTCTTTCTTGGGCCTCCGGGCTGGGACCACTTTCAATTCGCCGTATAACTATTTACTCGGCTTCTTTTGTTACAAACCGCTTTTCACTCAGCCCCTTACTCAACCGGCTATTTGGCCGAAAAGGGTAGGATTTGAATGTGCAAAACGGAGCCGAATGCGATGTATATTTCGACTCTCTGGGTCCAATTATTCGGCCTCTCTACGACTCATGATATTCGGCCCCCACAATTTATATAATTATATACAAAATATATAAAAACACTCCCCTAGGTGGTCCCAACCTTAGTCTCTTTTATGCTCCCTCACTCCCCTGCTCCCACTTTGTGCAACTAAGGTATACTTCACATTCCTAAAATTTACCAAGAACAATATGCCTTTTTACTCGAAAAATAATAATATTGATAAAACAATAGAGCTTGAATTCATTCCAACTAACATGGTACGTAGTAGTTGCAACTAAAGAATTGATGGGGACACCTGCATGCAGTGATCATTACCACACTGTTTATCCCTATGTTTGCAATTATTTTGCATTCTCTCTTTTAGTTTCTTCCACTTATCAGAATTCATCTAAGTTGCCATATGGCAGCATTAAAAAAAACTAAAAAGACAAGCAAACAAACAAACCAAAAGAGATCCTGCTAGATATGATAGGATAGATTAAACATTTATTATGGTCAAATTATTGTGGGTATAAAAAATCCTACTTGATACATTATCTCAAACCATAGAGCTCAGCAACAAAAATTGATTTCAGCAGTTCAGGTTTCAAGTGAATTTTTTCAGCAGTTGTCAATAAGACAATAAGATTTATGAAGATGACCCATATCCTGGATTCGACAGGCAATATGCTGCTACTAGCTTCAAATGGTACAAAGTGTCCTAGGTTCCTAGCCTTGACAATTACTTTATCTATTTCTTACAATTTCCACAACCCACAAATGTTCCAACTACAAAGCCTGAATATAGTTGTTTCTAAGATTTGAATATAGAAGACAAATGAAAGTAGGTAATAAATAGATTTGTTATGACAAAACCTGGAAGGAAAATATCTCCATCATTTTCATTTTTTTATCTCCAGAATGTGAAAAGGAACCTTCTACATCCCTACTGTAAGATGCAACTGAATGCTATCTGAATTCAAGGCAATATAGTCCAGAATAATGAAGATACGTTTACCTCTCTCTCATAGGAACACATGGACAGTTCCAAAAGCCTTGCCCTGCCTCAGCAGTTTTGTCATCATAGTGCCTGAAAAAAAATGGCCCCAACATAGGATATTTATATAACATGAGTATACGGCAGAACAAACAAGAATAACAACTTCGATGAGATTTTATTTCACCATCTAGCAGAATAGACTGTCCCGTGCATCAATTCATGCAAGTTCAATTGATCAAGCAATTTAAGGAATCAAAATTCCAATTTATGCAGGTTTAATTAGGATACCCAAAAGTAAAACAACTACATCAATTTAGCGACAGTCATACGATTAAGCTGATGATTAATGATAAGTACTTAAACTATCAATCCATCATGACAAATCCATAGAAACCAGAAACATGTGAAAAGCCTGTGACTATCAAATGCTCCAATTTTCAAATATGTAACCATAGGATAAAAAAAATTCAAAACCCAACCAAAATTGATGCCCTTATCCATATATATCAATTCTATATTTCTATTCCACTTCGGCACTTATTCCATCATGCAAACTTAACTAAGTACTACTAATATTGACTATTAAGTAGTGCACTACATGCACCTTCAGCTTTCAAGAGCATTTGTTTAGGAGGAAGGAAAAATAAAAAGTATACTTACCTAAATAAAAATAAATAAAACGCAGCCAAATTGAACTATAATTTGTTATTTAACATCTTCAACATCATACTAACATGTCGAGTGCTTCCACATGGATGCATGGATGCAAAAAGGGAAGAAAAATTAAACATGGTACTACAGAAACATAGGCGATTATATGCAGAAAGCCTCCAGCCAACTACTTAATATTGAAGATAAGAATCTATTTTTACCATTGCACTATACATGGCCATCACATGTTTCTTCTCCTATCTCGGTCTATATCATTTTCTTTGGTTTTGCTTCTACTCCTTTGATACTTCTATTTGAAACAGACCATTCCTTCCAATGACTGCAAAGGTACCACTAATGACTTCCCCCAATCACACTAATTTATACATATAGCCTTTCTTGCCTTTAAGTTTTTCCCCTCATAATCATGTTTCTGTTAATTACGCGCATTTATGGACACAGTACTTCTTAGCAGTTCATAATCAACATATTGGAATCTTGTAATTATATTCTAGGAGATACCCTTCATTTTGTTGAATACTGGTCCATAATTACTGAAGTAGCAAAACTGTCCACCTATGAAGCACGGACACGGACACGCGACCCAACACGGACACGCGAAAATGCAAATTTTCAAAAAAATAGGGGACACAACACACTGGGGACAGGTTCAATATATATAATTAATTTTATTTATTATATGTCATAAAATTATAAAAAAAAATCATTAAAAATTGGTTCCTATAATAAAATTAATAAACATACATTATTAAAATTATATACTCAAATAATAAAAAAGAAAAAATAAAAGAAAAGAAAAAATTAAATTAAAATCAGAATAAAAGAAAAAAAAATAAAAGAAAAAAATGAAATCAGAATAAAAGAAGGGCGAAAATCGACTGAGGAAAGAAGACAGAGTCTGAGAGAGAGAGAGAGAGCAACTGAAGGAAATCGAAGAAAAATGAAGATCGAAGAAGAAGAGGAGTATCTTAACGACGAAGGGCGAGACACGAGAGACGACTGACGAGAGACGACCGACGAGGAGCGACGATCGACGAGAAGAGAAGACGAACGACGAACGACGAAGTCAGGTCCTCTCTTTCTCACCCTTTCTCTGCTGTTTCTCTTCTATTCGAAGTAGGTTATTTTGATTTGTTTTTACTTATTTACAAATCGACCCCAAAAAAATTTAGTAAATTGTGAAATTACCCCCGAACGTGTCTATAACGTGTCCTGAACGTGTCCAGATGTGAAAAAATTAAAAAAAAAAGGGGACACTCTCTGCTGCGTGTTGGACACGTGTCCACCACGTGTCCGACGCGTGTCCATGTCCGACACGTGTCCAACATTGGTACGGAGCCCTCGGAGAGGTGTCCGTGCTTCATAGCTGTCCACTTCATCCACTCTCACCTACTTCTACTAGCCTTAGTTCCAACAATTTCTAGTACTAGAAGATGTTCATCCACAGTTTATAATTCTCTTGGAATGCAATATTGTTGCTTGTTATCAAACCTCCAAAGCAAATTTGAATTTTCTTGGAACTTGAGATTTTCATTCTCCGAATATGTTGGCCTACTTGTATGAAAGAACCTTTTAGGTTGCCTCCCGTGCATGAAAGAACCTTCTCGGAAAAGTATTTTTAGTGTTTTAGTAACACCATTATTTATAACATTTTGCATCAATTTGATGGCAGCTGTGACTTGTGCATGTAAATGTATTATTTTGCTGACAATGTTCTTGACATCCCAAAGCAGAAGCGCCAGGGGGTACATGCCACAGCCATTGTCCCACACCCACACATGTGCTTCTAAGCTATGATCAATTTTCTTCTCAATCTCCTCCAAACGATCTCACCAAGATAAAAGACATGGTTTCTGTTTGGCAGCACCTTGGTCATCAATTTTCACTATTCTCTCATATAGCCCTAGTTTGGGGTGAATCACATACATCTTGATTCATTCGTGTGTGCATGTGATGTGATTATCTTTTTTGTGCATTTGTTCATTTTTGTGTTTCATGTTTCACTGATCCTAATTAGGTGTTGCAGATTCGTAACATAATAAACTTGAAAGACAACAGTGTTCACATCTCCATGTGTATATTTAGCCATAGCACAAAAACTAAATAATTTTTTTTAAGCAACCCCTCTTTCTGATGCGTTTCTAGTGTGAAAACCATCCACTACAATGGCATGGTAGTGACACTTACAGTAATTCCTTAAAATTCCAATACATGACTTATTAAAATATTTGTTTTAAATAATAAGAAAACCAGGAGTATACATGTACAGTATACTAGCTTCCTACTAATTAGAGCTAACATACCAGTGAACAACTGCTAACAGATGTGTGGTATAGTGATTGATGAAAACAATACAGGTAGCCATCAAATTTCTACAGTAACATTAACTTACAATCTAATTTGAACATCAAAACTTAAATCAGATTGGGACAAGGAAAAAAAAAAACAACCATAGAAAATCAATCTGAATTACATTGTGAAAAAGGACAATACCTTGATAACAACGGATGTAACTCCCTTGTCTACACAAAAATATGTGCCGGACTTATGAGCATACAGCTCTGAGAACTTCCTCATTATTTCAACAGACTTGTCCGAGGGTTCCACTGAAAGAGAATAGACAAAAAAATGAAATGAAATCAATGCTCACATCAATGAAACAATTCCAACATGTAATGTAATGTAACTCTTCAATTTGGTCCACGTTACTGCAATTCAAGAGATTAAAGTACAAAATGCCAGCTGATAAGATACTAGTAATTGCAACTTCTGACCTACATAGACGACTAATCTAACAAAGCCGAGGCAGATTAAAATTAAAAAAACATATATAAAAAAAAATAAAAAACAAGTTCGAGGACAAACAAGCATGAAATCAACATTAAACATCAAAAGTGTTAGCAAAAATGCAACCGAAATAGTATTTCATATATAAAACATTGAAGTTAGGGTTAAGAAAGCAGAAATTGAATTATGCGAAATAGAGAGAGGGTGTATGGGGGCGAATAATGTGATTACCTTTTGCTAAGATTACATGGTGGTGACGGAGACGAAGCCGCCGAGGAGCAGCAGAAGCGAAGGAGGAAATGCCGACGCCATATGAGGAGGAGGTTGAGGCCTGAAGTGCTCTCATGGCTATTCGATTCGATTTGAGAGAGAAAGAGAGGGAGATTGCTAGCTAGTATTCCACCAATGCAATTGAAACAGAACCACTGTCTGAGATGGATTTTTCGATTATTTGGTCCTTGTTTGGTTTGTTTTTCCCAAAATTTTTTGGGAAAAATTCTCTGCAAATAAATTTTTAAGGGTAATCAAATCAAACAAATTTTTCAAAAAATATTTAAAAAATTTGTTTGGTTACCTGTTTTCCAAAATCACTCTCTCTCTCGTACCCATCAAATCAATAACTTTTTTTAAAACTCAACTCTTTCCCAAAAATAATTTTTCAAAATCATTTTTGAAAAAAGACAAATCAAACAAGTTTTCATATTTTTTTACCTCAAAAACTACTCTACAAACATAAACCAAATACACCATTGTTTGACGTGATTTTTAATATTAATTTTTCTGCACAAATTTGATTTCTGTTTTTTTTTTTGGTAAATTACATTGACACCCCTAAGGTTTATATTTATTACAGTTATCCCCTTTACCTTTTGAAAATTACATCTCCCTCTCTGAGATTTAAAGTTTCATTACAGATTGTCCCCTGAAGTTTAAAGTTTCATAACAGTTTTCCCTCATCGTAATGATCATCATGCATAAAATCAAATTAACAGGGTGGTCAGTGTAATTTTTTAAATGTAAGGGAGTGAATTGTAATAAATATAAACCTTAGGAGGTGTCAGTGTAATTTACCCTCTCTTTTTTTAACGCCATGGGAGAAAGTTAGGTAAAATAAGATAAAATAGTTAATAAGATAAAATCTTAGGGGTTTTTTTTTTAGGGTCCCTAGTATTAAGACTTTATAGTATAAAGGACATCTAATATTTTCATAATGTCTAAGGTCCCTCAATTTGATCCAGAGGAATTCTGCTCCAGAAAAATTCTGGTCCAAAGAAATTATGTCCAAAGAAATTTCAACCTAGAGAAATTTCCATCCAGAGAAAATTTCTCTGTTTTGTTCAATTTTTTTGATTTTCTATGTTTTGAAAATTCTCTAGGATTGAATTTTCTCTAATTTTCTCACAAATAACTCTGTGATTTGCTACTTTGCTTGCCGTCACTCTTGGTGTCAAGCAAATTATGTGAATTTCTCTGGCCTTTTCCAGAACCAATCCAGAGAAAATCCAGAAAATTCAGTTCAAAAACCAGAGAATTTCTCAAGTTTCAACCTAGAAAAAATTTAGTTAAAAAACCAGAGAATTTCTCTAGTTTCAACCCAGAGAAAATTCAGTTCAGATGATCGTGATTTAGGGGTTGTTTGGGGTGTCCTAAATAAGTGCACTTTTTATCTTTTTGGACAAAAAAGTTGAGGGAAAAAACATGGATGTTTGGGTTAACTTTTTGACTTTTTATGAAAAAACGTGTAACAAAAAATTGTAAAAATTGGTTTGTAGAGAAAAATTAGGATTGGGAGTTGTGCAGCCGTATTTGTTGACTTTTGGTGAATAGTGTTAACTTTTTAACTTTTTGAGTAACTTTTTGACTTTTTGGATTTTTTCATATTACCCGAACTTGGCCTTACCGTTTCTTTCTGATTTTTTTCTTTTTTTTTAAACAGCCACCCCCTCCTTCGTCTACCATCAAACTACAAATTAAACTGCAAACTCATTTACTATGATCTTGTAGAAAGCCAGTCTTGCATGGTAAGATATAAGTAATCAGTTGTCTGATTTATATCTTACAAGAAAAGAAGCAAAAAACTATCATAGAATGAATATAAAACCCCACTTTGACTAGTCACCACAACCTCCCAACAATATTAACAAATAGAGCAAGTACAATTGATGGAGCACACACCCTGTTGATATAATTTATTTAAAAAAAATTATTGCACAACATCTAATGGCGACGAAGATGCAATTTCAGTCAATTGATAAAGTCTTTAACTCAATACCTGAACAATAAGCTATTTGTAATTTCAGTCATATAATAAACTGAAGGCATACCTGAACAATACCAGCATCAGACAAATTTACATCCCAAAATTGGCATTCGGTGTTCTCTCTCTTCTTCTTTGACACAAATCTCAACCAAATTTGATCTTCGAACCTACTAGAAAACCCTAATTGCAGAAATCAATCAGAAACTGGACAAAACCGTATCTGTGCAGTACCCACAGCAGATCTACGAAGCAATGCGCTACTCTATTCTCGCGCCATGCTGCCAAACGTGCTCCTCCGGTGATGCTCCGACGACGACTCCTACATCGGCTCCTGGTCCTCCGATCGCAAACACGGCTTCGGCGAGAAACACTACGCTAATGGCGATGTCTATGTTGGTTCATGGAGGTCGAATTTGCAGGATGGTGATGGCAGGTATGTTTGAAGGAATGGGAATGAGTACATTGGGGAGTAGAGGAATGGGGTTATTTCGAGTAAGGGGGCTGAATTTCTCTGTGATAGATGGAGAGATCTTAGACATCAAAAAATAATATTGTAGATGTCTTCCATTACTAAAAATGGAAGAGGGACTTTAGACTAATTTTCCCAAAATGTTATATCTAATTCATAATTCTTTTATTTTTTCTCTTACAATTATCAAATCAACTACAAAACACAAACCAATCAACTTTTCAAACATAATTTTTTTAGCCAAATTGAAATAACTAAAAAATCAAATAGTCAACTGAAATAATCAACTTGCCAAACAATACCTTAGGCACATTTTTTGGGAAGTCAAGGTTGTGTTGTGTTTGGACAATTTAAAAAAAAAAAATTTGAAAAATGAAAAATAAACTAATGCACATTATTCACCTTGTTCAATTCTAATTTTCTAAAAATCAAATTTTTTTATTTTTAATAATTTTATTTTAATATATTTAAATATTTTTTTAATTTTTAGATACACTTAATATAAATACAATTAAAAAGTATAATATTTTTGAAGAAAAAAAAAGCTATAAAACATTTACTAAATATAAAAAATAAAAAATATATATATATATATATATATTCAGTGCATTTTTATATTATTGTGTATTTAAATATTTTATTATAAATATTTTACTTTTTAAATATATCTAAAAAGTAAAATATTTGCTTAAAATATTTTAAAAACTAACTAAAAACACAAAAAATTAAATTCAAAAAATTAAAACCAAACAAAGTGATTAATTCTTATTATTATCTAGTTCCCTTTCAATTTTATATATTTTCTTCCAGACTTCGTTGTTCTTCTTTTTCTTATTTAAATTTTGTTCTTAATGTGTGTAATATTCTCTAAATATTTAAATAGGATTACAAAACAACAACTTGCCTTCACAATTAAAGCACAACAAGAAACTCAACTTTGCTGGCTTTTATGCATAATTTGCTCAATAATGTTACATAATCCGAAAAAGTGATCAGCTTAATTAAATGGATTGATTATGTTAGTGGATTATATAAATTCCATTCACACACCATCCAAACACTGGCTTAGAGCACATCACAACTGCCACAATTGTGGAAAATGCAAAGGCGACGAATTTAAAGGACATTTGAGACATCCTGTTGCTGTATGATCAATAGTTCTCTACACCATTCTTTGTTATTGTTAAAGAGCGCAAACACAAATCCCTTAAAATACACATAAATAAACAATACTGAGCCCTTCCTCGGCCTCTTATTTGCATGTGTCGTTTATGATTTTCTATTTTCCCAAACAATAGGGCTGGAGAGTTGCATGATACAATTATAAACATACAGAGTAGCCCTGTAAGTGGACCAGAATCAGCATAATCCGATGTAGGCCTGTATTAACAGAGGTATATCATGTGTTTATTAACAAAGGAAAAACACAGGACACCTTCAAGTTCAACACAAGTACATCAGAGGGAGATGGAGTTCAGAAAGGTATTCATGCAGCGAAGGAGAACCTGTTCCTGTAAATGGAAGACACCCATGTGTGGAACAAATAAAAAAATAATGCATCAGGCAACAAGAAATAGGCTGCTTTGAGAAGCACAGTCATGTTTATTCATTCTCAAGGAGAAATTGATAATTACGGAATTACATTCCTTTTGGGATACTCTTTGTTACATGACAACTATATGTGGAGCACTGCTACCAATCTAATACTCACAATTTAGCATGCAGGTACTGATCCACTGTTAGAGGTTTAGGGCCACCAAACCAGTTAATCAAAAATATATCTTCAATTTCTAACTTGAACAACTGAAAATTGTGATCCTTGGGCCAATCTGTCAACCACCAAAAAAATGAAGATAATGAAGGGAAGAAAGAATGGTAGTGTTAGTGAACAAAAGCATACTGAAAAAAGAAAGCTACAGCTAATGTACAAAATATTTGCAATTACCCTTCATCTCGGGATGCTTTGTGAACAAGGAAATTCGAGCAAATTTAGCTTCACTGGAGTTCCCATCAACTACCTTCAACTAAAATATCATGGCGAAAATATTTTACCCAAGTTAGCCATGAATATTGATAGAATTATCAGGTAAACTCAGAAAATCTTATTCCAATTTTTTTTAATATATAGATGAAGCTGCATTGCATGAAAATTTAACGGCATTTTTTGCACATATTTAGAGACAATTTCTGCTTGTCAGACCCAGTAAAATAATAAGATGAAAATCTTGTCTAGTGGCCTCCAAAAACAAATTCATCATGAACTTGCATAATCAGCCAAACCAAAAATCACAAGATGCCTAGAAATAGGTCAAGCAGTGTCGTGTTGGTCTCTCAAACTTGATGCCAGGGAAAGATGTCCTCTTGTACACCAGCTAAACAAGAAGGGACTGCGAGAGATAAGAAAGGGGAAATATGCGCTGGTTACGGGATTCAGGGGTGTCCTCTTGGTAATGACATGCATTTAGCAAAAATTAACCGTATAAAATGCACAAGTGGAATAACCACAGAATCACAAAAGTACTGAGTAAAGAGTGAAAATTGTAAACTTGCAAGTCAAGAGGCCACAAATGCTATGCCCTTGTAGTAACAGCTGATTGTGTAACACACCTTTCCCGTGAGTGTAATTTTTGAACAAGTGGGGTTCTCAGGGTCTATCTTGCCACAAGTTCCAACTGGGTATTCACTGATTGCAAAAGAAGACCTCTCGTCTTTCAATGCATTACTTGCTGTTGGATCAAGAGTTGTCAAATAGAAGTATGGGATTCCATGGCCATGGTCAGGTAGCCCATCACTAAATGAAACCACATTCCTGCACGGAAATTAAATGTTTCTGTTGAGCGAAAAGTATTGTAGCAAGAAAGTAGTAAAATAAATTCTACTAATAGCCTTGAAAACAAGGAGGGGGCTAAAACAGTAAAAAAAATCTGAAGTATATTTAAATGCATGGTCCATGCAGCTCTAAAAATTATGAAGGGAGTAGATTATCAACGTTGCATGAAAATTACATATCTGTCGAATGCAAATTATTGGAGTAAGAGAACAGTAAATCAATTATCCTAATAGCCTTGAAAATAAAGAGAACAGAAAAACTTTGTACTGAATTGTAAGGCAATGAATGGTCGATGCATCTCCCTAAAAAATAAGAAGGGTATGGATGTTCAAGGCTGTGTTTGTAATTGTGTTGCTAACTAGTCTCAGGAACTGTAGTTTTTTTAGTCAATAAGCTCAAAAATTTCTGCCTCATTGGCATGCCATGCTTTATGGTACAAATCTCAAGGAATGTGATCCCCAGCATTCCTCTTAAACCTGCAGGCATGGTTTTAAATTGACGTATCAAACACAAAGCGGTAGTGGTAACGGTCAGGGTGAAATGGTATTGGGAGTTTTGAATCGAGAATTGAGTGACGTGATCGTAAATTTTTTAAAATATCAATAACTCTCTAAAACTCATTCATATGCCTTTTTGTCTCTCTCAAGTTTAATTTATCATATTTTATTCAATATTTTAATACATAGAAACATTTTTTACCTTCAAAACTCTTTAAAAAATTACCTGGAACGTTGAAAAAGATAATATTGTATGTTTTCCCGCAACAAAACAGATGTATAAAGTCTTTTGGTATTGTAAATAATCAAAATTATATTGGGATTAAGGAAATATAACAATAACTTGGTTTTGATTAATTTTTCTGGACTCATTTTCACATGATATCTTTTCAGAACCACAGCCATAACAAGATAAAACTTAATTGCCAATACAACTTGTTATATCATTTTTATGATCTAATCATAAATCACAAAGGTAAGTCGACAGAACATGAGAACAGTCATTCCAAAGGCAGCAGGCGGATCAGAAATCAATTAGATGCGGGAAGAGAACGCAAAATAATAAGGTAAAACATACCCAAAAGGTGCTCCTCCCAAATCACTTGAAATGGTACTGCAAAAATAAAAACGACCACATCAGCTTTGTGTTTGAAAATGTTTAAGCTTAAATGCATGCATCTCATCACATATTCAAGATTTTCTAAAGTATTGTAAAGCTTTGAATAAAAATCAGGCAAATTAGTAGGCAACATATAATACAATCCCAAAACCTCTATAATGACATGTTTTTATGAGGGAATAAAAGAATTGAGTAAAAAAATATCAGATTTCCAAATGAGGCAGAATCTAATATGAACCAGTAGTGACACTGGTGGGCATAGTAATCATCCTGATGCATATGACATCGGATTTAAAATGTGAAAAGTTTCCTCTCTCTTCCTTCATTATTCTTTAGAAGTCCCACATACAATCATACGTGATTATGCCTCCTTATTACAAATATTATTTTGTAAAACTTGGGGTGGGTACACCGCTCTTAACCCTATATTATCCGAGCTGCATTTGTTAGTTACAAAGAAGAGTGCTACTAAAAGCATATGATTTGAATGCCCATATTTCTAAGCAAGTTCTATCACCAGCTTATCTAAGTTCTATTTTGATCCTTAAACCTTTCAAATCCCACTGTCCGTTCCACAGTATCTAAATAATGAAGCCTTTGCTCCTTATACCTCTCTCTCTCTCTCTCAGTAAACATGAGAGATAGTTCAGGAACTTTCATTCATTACCCATCAACCTCAGCAAACAATATAATAAGGGTCATCTTCAAATCAAAACAAATGTTTACACAACCAAATGTTGTCCTCAAAACAAAGAGTGCTCCCAATACATAAAAGTGGTGAAATGATGACATGAGATGATTCTACATCTATTCCCAGAAAAAGTTTCAGTTGAAAGAAAACAAAATGGTGAATGAAAACCCTAACACGTTGAGAATTGAACTCCAAACCCAAAATCAAAGAAGAATGCTACAAGTACACAACAAATTACAATAAAGCATCAGATGAATCATGAGTTCTATTTGCTTCAATTTCATGTGTAGACACAACACAAGTGAACCCAATTAAACCCTCATCACAACAACATGGATGCAGAAGATGCAATAATCGCATAATCCAAATAACCAATCAATCAATCAAAACAAACAGCTGAACTAAAGATTGAATATGCACACATGTAGATATCTAAGAGAGAGAGAGAGAGAGAGAGAGAGAGAGAGAGAGAGAGAGAGGAGAAATACTTTAGAACCCCCCAAGAACTCTGAGAGACCAACCACCGAGCGAAGGCAGCAACATTGTCTGGTTGGGGTTTGGATAGAGAGAGAAGGCGTCCTCCTTCGACGGGATTTCGATATACCAATAAACACAAAACCACACAAACAAAAAAGTAATCAAAAAAGCCTTTCATATTCCTGAGAAAGATCAGAGAACAAGTATGAGGACCAAGTATACCATACACACAACCTATCTATATGTATATATATGCGTATTATGTACAGCAAAGCTAGAGGTATTGCAGTGTTTTGAAGTTTCTCTCACCTACCAATCAGAAAAAAAAGGGAGGATAAATTCCAAATACATCTTTGGGTATTAGATTAAAGAATAATGTTTGGTGGCCTGAAAAATTCTGTCCCGAATGGCTGAAACGATGTTGTTTCAGTCATTCAAATTTTTTATTTTTTATTTTCTTCTTCCTCGGTCTGATACGCAGTGAGGGAGGAGAGAAAGAGAAATAGAAAAACTACTCTGTGTGTGACTGATCTGAGTTCTACTCTGTGTGTGACTGATCTGAGTTCTACTCTGTGTGTGACTGATCTGAGTTCTACTCTGTGTGTGACTGATCTGAGTTCTACTCTGTGTGTGACTGATCTGAGTTTGAGAGATGAGAAAGAAGCGTCCAAGCCTCCGTCGCCTCCTCCCCTCCTCGCCTTCACCACCATCCTTCATCGCCTCTTCTCCTTCTTCCCGTAGTCCACTTCGCCCATCCGTGACCTCCTGTGCAGTGAATCCGCCATCATCGCCATAGTATGGTGGTGGATCGGAGGCAACGTAGCCTCGATCCTCCTTCGCTGCCTCCGATCTGTGTTGATCTGGGGTCTACGACGGTAGATCTGCCTCCGATCTACTATGTTGATCTGCTGATTTTTTATATTTTTTTTTGATGTTGTATTTGATCTATAAGTTGTACACACGTCTGTATTGCTGTTTTTTTTTTTTTTTGACGGGGAATTTTCGGGGTCGGGGAAATCCGATCCCCGTTAGGGGCGGGGGTGGGGGCGGTGATAGACTCCCCGTCGGGGATCGGGGACGGGGACGGGGACATTTCTACCATCGGGGATCGGGGACGGGGAGGTGATCCCCGGCCCCGCCCCGTTGCCATTCCTATATAGAAGAGTAATTATGAATTTTATTTTCAACAATGATTTAGAGCACTAATTTTAGTGCTTTAACGAAACACCAATGACATGGCATGGAGAAAAAAAAAATAATAAACAAATAAACAAACTAAGGGGTTGTTTGGGGTGTCCTAAATAAGTGCATTTTTTATTTTTTTTAACTAAAAAATTGAGAAAGAAAATATGGATGTTTGGGTTAACTTTT